GGAAACCAAGAAGAAAATTCTCAAAGTGACGACGAGATAGTCTGTGCCCTCCAATATAAGCTTGGATTGTCGTCTGATTCTTGCAAAGTTGAAGACAATTATTAAAGTTAAAATGCTCCTAGATGCGAGCCTAAACTATTAATGACACTCCTTGACATGAGTTTAAACTGTCTACCTGAAAAATAAAAAAAAAATAAAAAAAATGACATTCCTTGATACGAGTTTAAACTGTCTACCTGAAAAAATATATATATATATATATATATATATTAAGAACTCCTTGATACGAGTTAAAACTGTCTCCCAAAAAAAAAAATGATACTCCTTGACACGAGTTTAAACTATCTACCTGAAGGAAAAAAAAATCAAGAACTCCTTGACATGAGTTTAAACTGAAGAAAAAACAATCAAGCACTCCTTGACACGAGTTTAAACTGTCTACCTGAAGAAAAAAAAAATCAAGAACTCCTTGACATGAGTATAAACTATCTACTTGAAAAAAAAATCAAGAACTCCTTAATACGAGTTTAAACTATCTCCCAAAAAAAAAAAAATTTGATACTCATTGATACGAGTTTAAACTGTCTACCTGAAAAAAAAAAAAAAAAAAAAAAAAAAAAAACACTTATTGGCAAGAGTATAAATTGTCCGCCTGAAGAAAAAAAAATCAAGAACTCTTTGATACGAGTTTAAAATGTCTCCAAAAAAAAAAAAAAAAAAAAAAAAAAATGACACTCCTTGACACTAGTATAAACTGGCTACCTGAAAAAAAAAAATCAAATCAAAAACTCCTTGACACGAGTTTAAACTGTCTATTTGAAAAAAAAATCAAGAACTCTTTTATACGAGTTTAAATTGTCTCAAAAAAAAAAATGACACTCCTTGACACGAGTTTAAACTGTTTACCTGACAAACAAAAAAATCAAGAACTCCTTTATACGAGTTTAAACTGTCTCCCAAAAAAAAAAAAAATGTTCAGAGTATGCAAAATGGCAAAGTGTGCTCGTCACAGGATATCAAAAGGACTAGTAGCAATTAATCAACTTGGCTTACTGTCAAAATATTGTTGTCGCTCGTCACAAATTTTCAACTTGGCTTGCTTTTAAGATGTTGTCACTCATCATGTGATATCAAAAGTGCTTATCACACCTGTCAACTTGGCATGCCACCAAAGTATAGTTGCAAAGAAAATTTTGGTCCATCGCCAAATTGTAGCTGTAAGGAAGAAATTTGGCCCACCGCCAAAATGTAGCTGCAAAGAAGAATTTTGATCCATCGCCATAATTGTAGCTACAAAGGAAATTTTGGTCTAGCAAAGTGTAGTTGCGAAGAAATAAATTGGTTCGTCGCCATACTGTAGCTGCTTAGAAAAATTCTGCTCATCGCCGAGGTATTGCTGAAAGAGATATTTTGTTTGCCGCCAAGGCATCGCTAACGAATCCGATTCATCACCAAGGTGTTGTTGCAACAAAATTTTGACTCGCCACTGATGTGTCATTGAAAGAAAAAAAAAAAAAAAAAACTTCTGCTCGCCGCCGAGGTGTAACTGAAAGAAAATTTTGGCTTTCCATTGAGGTATTGCTAAAAAATATTTGCTCACCGCCGATGTATTGTTGAAAGAGAAATTTGGCTTTCCGTTGAGGTGTCGTTGAAGAAAAAAAATAATTCTGCTCGCTACCAAGATATTGCTGAAAGAGAAATTTGGCTTTCCGTTGAGGTGTCGTTGAAGAAAAATTCTGCTTGCCGCCGAGGTATTACTGAAAAAGATCTTTGGCTTTCTACTAAGGTGTCGAAGAAAAAAATTTGCTCGCCGATAGAACCATGAAGAATTTTAGTGGCTAGGCACCAACATTTGAGGAATGCTTTGAATACATCTCCATGGTGATCATATGAAGATAGCTCGCCGATAGAACCATGAAGAATATGAGTGGCTGGGCACCAACATTCAAGGAATGTTTTGAATACATCTTCATGGCGATCATATGAAAATAGGGAGGCGAATAGAGCACCATATAGTTGTTGTTTTGATAGAAAGTCATGGAAACGCGCCAAGACATCTTCTAACTACTCCCAATATAGTTCGGTGTGTGGCAATTCAGCAGAAAGTATACAGGGAATACTCCATGATACTTTCTTCGCTTGAATGTTGAGACCAAAGAGTGAAAACTGGTTTTCCTCAACTATTCTCTCATGAAGTGGAGAATTAATATCAAGGCTTCCGAGACAATGGATTCTTCATTAATCTGATCAAGACCAAAGTTGGTAAGGTTGCCTATAGCCTTGCATGTCCAATGAGAAGAACAATGTTCATTGTCGGGATCAGGCATTTGAATGCGTGTCCAAAGAGAAGAACAATGTTCATTGTCAGGATCAGACATATGAATGGCATTGCGACCGAGAAGTGAGTCGAAGTCGACTGCATGGAACAACTTCTATGTCGTTTTTGGATTCGTAACAGGAGAACTGATTCTTAGGAAGTCCTGTATTAAAAAATAAATAAATAAATAGAACGACGATAAAGTTCACGTCGGGGTAGTGCGTAAATCAGTGGTAGCACTAAAGAACTCCATCAATGAAGACCGACGAAACCCAGAAGTTTAGACACGATGAACCCCGGCGAGCTTCAGTTCAGAATTGGGATTAACCACCATTAACAGACCCAAAAGATCCAGCAGGCTCATTTAGGAAACTCAGTTTCGGCGAAAAAAAAAATTTGGTGAGAAGCTCTGGCAAGTTTCAGAGATAAAACAAGTCCGACAAAGCTTCAATCTGTTCGACCCAACTGCAGCTACCAGAAACTTCAACAACTTGAGCTCCATGGGTGTGAGTTGTGGTGTCCTTTTTGGGGAAAAAAAAAAAGTAGAAAAAAAAAAAGACAAACGTGAGAAAAAAGGAAAAAAAAAAAAGAAAAAAAAATTCGTGAAAAAAAAAAAGAAAAAAAAAAAAAAGGAAAAGTGGTGGAAAAAAAAAAAGGAGGAAAAAAAAAAAAAGAGAGAAAAAAAGTCGTGGAAAAAAAAAACGAGGAAAGGAAAAAAAAAAAAAAAGTAGTGAAAAAAAAAAAAGAAAAAAAAATGAAAGAAAAAAAAAAAGAAGGAAAATAAAATCGTGAAAATAAAAGTGAGAAAAAACGTGAAAACAAGAAGAAGAGAAATATCATACCGATTATTTAAGCAGAGACTGCAATCTAACAAGTCTTTAGAGACGTTACAATTAATGGTAAAACCTATAACATTGGTGGTATATATAGGTAACAAAATATCTTCTGTTTGTACTAGGATTTGTATAATTCAGTTCAAATAGGAAAGTAAAATTCCTATCCAAAGTTGGATAGAAAAGCAAAAGAGGAAATCTTACCATCCAAAGTTGGATAGGAAATGGGACAAAAAAAAAAAAAAAAACAAAGGAAAGTTGGATATTTCAAGTCCCATTTGAAAAAGGAAACAAGTCATATCAAACTTGGGACTCGAGGTGGGGGCAATTTGTAGACACTAAAATTTTAGTGGGCTTTGGTTTTGACAAATGGACCTATTAAATATGGGCTTAATGTTTAATTAAGTTATTTAATTGGTCCAAGCTTGGTCTACTTAAATTATTTAATTAGCCTAGCCCAGATGGTTAAATAAACAAATAATTATTCCTAATAAAATATATTTGGAATAATTATTTTTAAGGTTAATTATCATAATATAACCGGCTCAGCCCAGTTATAATTTTATCCTTATCAGGAGATGACATGTGTCATCATCCTATCAACCCAAGAAGCCTATAAATAGAGGCCTGGAGGAAAAAGGAAGGAACACAAATTCAGAATCCAGAAATCCAGAGACTCGGAAATCCAGAAGGTCCAGAAATTGAGAGAAATCCAGAGAGCAATCCTGAAGGCGAAGAATACCAAGCACATCCAAAGTTGTGCCATTCTTCACCAAATTCAACAAATTCTCTCCCTCTGAAGACGAAGAACAACAAGCACATCCAAAGACATGCCATTCTTTCTCAAATTCAACAAAGGACACAAATTCAGAATTCAGAAATTCAGAAATTCAGACACAAATTCAGAATTTAGAAGTCGAGAAATTCACACACAAATTCAGAGTCCAGAAATCTAGAGACTTAGAAATCCAGAAATCCAGAAGGTCCAGAAATTGAGAGAATCAGAAATCCAAAGGGCCAGAAATCCCGAGGGCAAACCTGAAGGCGAAGAATACCAAGCACATCCAAAGTCGTGTCGTTCTTCACCAAATTCAACAAATTCTCTCCTCTCTAAAGATGAAGAATAACAAGCACATCCAAAGACGTGCCGTTCTTCCTTAAATTCAACAAATGATACAAATTCAGAATTCTGAAGTTCTGAAATTCAGACACAAATTCAGAATTCAGAAGTTTAGAAATTCAGACACAAATTCAGAATTCAGAATTTCAGAGAGAAATACAGAAACTCTGCCCCAACATCCAAACCCAAAGACGAAGAACACCAAGCACATCAAATCGTTCTGTTATTCATCAAATTCCACGGTGATCAACAACAAGCACATCAAATCGTGCCGATCTTCATCCAAATTTTAGGTGATTCAAGATTAATCTCGTGCAGCCCTTGGATCCAACTAACCAAAAAAAGAAGATCGAATCTGAGGACTGTCTTCTTTGTAAGGAATATTATTAGAGAGGATTGTACTCAATTTTCTAAATTAATAAATATTTTATTTGTCCATATTTTGTTTTTTATTATTCAGATTAAAAATTTGTGTGTACACACACAGGAGTAGCTACAGTGTTGTTAAAACTCTAAGCCGTGGACAATAATGTGAGATGAGTAGCGTTGGACAAAGTGTAGCGAAAATGTAGCAATTTCGCCAATATATATATATATATATATATATATATATTGCGGGTGTGATTTGGGTGGACAACAACAACATGATTTGAGAATAAATGGACTGGGCAAAGATGAGTGGACAAAGGAAGTCGAGAGAGCGCATGGTGTTCATGTAATCGGAGTGAGTCCATTATATATTTATTCAAATACTAATACTAGGAGTATCATACTAGTTGCTGCAACTGCAATTCATTTGTTCACTGAAATGGGCTCTTCTTTCTTTGCAATGGCAATAGTAGTGTATTAAATATCTGAACTAGCTCACGCAGATCCCCAAACAATTGTCTCCTCCCCCTTCCCTTCCTTGCAAAATCCTTCCTTATATGTGATTGAAGAGGGAGGTCACGTGTTGTCCCCAGATTCACTCATATCACACAGCCCCAATCTATAGTATCTCCACTTAGCAGCACCCGCGTAAATTCCGTATCATTAAACGGTTTAAGTTCCACCTTCATCGACAATACACATATACACACACACATATATATTATATACAGAGTCCTACAAGTGAAGTTATCAGCAATGGCGGAGTCTCTACTGCCCTTGTTACACAGGGCACCTACCCTACGGCTACCTAGGCCGTCTTCTTCTTCTGGATTTAATAATAATTACCCATACACGCACGCTTCGCATACCCTTCTTCTGAAGCCCCATAATTTCGATTACATTTACAAATCAAATAAAACCCATTTCAATAAATTGCTCTTCTTCGTCGGGCAACACTCACCACATCACCCTAGGTTACTGCTCAAACCCATTCATGCCCTTGACTCCAATGTCCCTCTTCCAATTCATCATCAACACCAGGAGGAAGAGGTAGATATATGTATATCAGATCATATGCTATATATATACACACACACTTGCACTACTGATTGATTGATTGATTGGTGCATTTTATTTGATTGTCGTTGAAAATTTTGAAAATTGAAGAAGAAGAAGATTTCCAAATTGGATCAATGGGATTCGATGACGGCAAAGTTCTCCGCAGCTGCAAACATTCCATTTCTGGTTTTGCAGATGCCTCAGATCATACTCAATGCCCGTAATCTTCTAGCTGGGAATAAGTCTGCACTTTTTGCTGTTCCGTGGCTGGTAATTATTAATTAATTTCAACCCCACCATTTCATTTTTGCAATTATTTGATTTTCTCATATGTATATATACATATATACATGTATATTACTATCTTAATTACTTGAATTTTTGAGACCCACTAACCTAGATAAATCTCCTAAATTAATCCAATTGATCACTATACTATAAGGATTGTGGTGATGCAGGGGATGTTCACTGGTTTGCTTGGAAATCTTTCCTTACTATCTTATTTTGCCAACAAGAAGGAGAAGGAAGTGGTAGTGGTGCAGACATTGGGAGTGGTATCTATATATGTGGTCATCACTCAGCTTGCTATGGCTGAAGCCATGCCTCTCCTTCAATTCATTATAACTTCTATAGTGGTCGCGTCTGGTCTCGTTTTGAATTTTATGAATTACTTCGATTTGCTTAATCATCGAATTTGGTCCTTTTGGGAAGATTTCATCACTGTTGCAGGCCTCTCTGCTCTTCCCCAAGTAATCTCTCTCTCTCTCTCTATATATATTTTATATTTTAAACTCACGCACCCCCTTATTCCTAAATTCTATTTGCTCTGTCTCTGATCTTCGCTTTTTTTCTGTTTGTGGAGCAAAATCCAGGTTATGTGGTCGACATTTGTCCCTTATATTCCAAACAGTATTTTGCCAGCAGTGATATCCTTCATTGTAGCCGTGGTTGCTGTTGTTATGGTAAGCTTATGATTTTGCTATTAGGGATATTATTGATAAAGGATTGCTTAGTTATAATCATGTCATACAGAGTTCTCATTGTTAAAAAACTGTTATATAAAGGAGAGAAAAATTATGATTAAAAATAACCGTGTGATCAAGCAGCCTAAAACGATAGAATTCTCAGTTATGGGTAAAATATTAGAATATTAATGTCAAAGTTGTGGTTTGGTTCTATGCAGATTGACAGTTGGAAGATGCCAACATATGGATAATATGTGTGTCAACAGTCACCACTTCCTAAGATCTGTTGTTGTCTTCACAATCTTATTATTGTTTTCATTCCAAACATCAATGTGTTCCAAAATCGTAGCATCAACTTAGGAATTATGCATTGGTTGTAATATCTATTTTTCCAACCATGAATCAGATAATGATTCAGTGAGGAGTTTACCCGAACATATAAGACTCAGAAAATAATGATTGAATGATCCACTGCCAGAATGTGGTATCTTTACTGTTTTCTTGCTACCTTTATAATGCATAAACTCATATTCTCATTTTCTAATTATTTAAACATTCATTTAGTTTCCCAGTAAGCCAAAGTAATGATTGTCATGGTTGGCTCAAATCAGCAGATAGTTTGAGCTCAAATACTTGTATGGCCAGTTCTGTTTGATTCAAAAATTGGTGAAGAGGAGGAACGAATTGATCATATACTGTTTGGGGAAATGCATGTATAAGTTCTATATAGCCGCAAGTACGAGATATTTCAATTTTGTACGAGGAGATCTTGCATTTTATGCACTTCTTCTGGTTTTGACAAATCTAATCCTATAGAAGAAGTAGAAGAGCTTAAGTCTTTTTACTTTCAAGGAGGGTATGAAGATTTTTAGTCATTCAACCACGAATTTTTGAAGTTAAAAGCATTAGAAGTCAAATGGATTTTTTCATTGCTAGATGCTAATGAATAGGAGTAAAGAAACACATTCATAACCCGGACGTTTGGATCTACTAATTCAGAAACGAAAAGGTAAAAGGCAGAGTAGAAATTTGCTTTACAACTACTGTAGTTTATTTCTCTTCTTTTTTCTTTTATAGTTCTCTAGGTATCTCACAAATGGAACATTTCAAGAGTTTAGGATTTCTTAGACTTGGAGCTTCACTCTATTTTCGTAGTGGTGCAATCCTTATAAATGTTGAACTCACAGATGAAGGGAAAAAATGAGTTTAATCTCAATTGATCTTTAAATTATTGAACTCCAAGCATTCATCATTGTGGATTCTTATGGGTGAAATGGAATAAAGATTAGATGATAGAGGTCCAGGTGGAAGCCAAGACTATCATATTAGGAGAAAGAGAGAGTGGTAGTTAGCGGGGTCACCTTTGCCCTTTGGGAATGGTTTTGATTTGAAGAGATTGACGTTTCTCTGGGTTGTTCTTAACCCTTGAGAAATTGTCATGCTTTATATGAAGTGTGCCCAAGGGTCAATCCTCACCTATTATTGTGAAAAGTAAAAGGCCAATTTATAATATATTGGTGGAGGCAAGTGGTGTACTCATGTGTCCCTGTCAATTATATATGACACAGTAGGTAGATGAGCATTGGTGGCACTTGGAAGGGCACGACACTAGATGGCTAGAAGGCCGTGAGGCATCTTTGGCATAACATTGTCAAGGCCCATTGGATGCCCAGAAAGGCTACCATGTATTAGTTTGGGTGATCCAATAGGATGCTGCCACATTATTTTGGAACATGTCATGTTGAGGGTCAAGTAGTGCCTCTCTTTTTTAAGATATGCCAAGGTGTAAACAGTGAGGGGGAACATTGATGAACCTATATTCTGATGACCAGCATAACCAAAAGATGGCAGCATACCACGACATAGTAGCTCCAGGACCTGCTCCCGAGCACTAGCAGCATCAGGGTGCAGTGCGCAGAGAGGATTTCCATTGAAGAGGTTTGTCTGTGGGGAAGACTCACTTTGTGACTCGAGAAGTGTACAGTCAGACCTCATTGAGCTGGAAAATGTTGGTTCAGCCATAGATGCATGGTGTGAGTTCAAAAATGGAATTTTCTGTAGATCTACTATTTTTACTAGCTCTCTAAAAGAGTAGGTTGCTTTATGGATTTTCTTTCAACTTTAGTTTGTGTTAGTGTCCTTGTGTGTGGCATTAGGTTGGCACATTTACAAAGCTATATGCGGCATAACTCTGAGCTCATTAATTAATTTTCCTTGTGAGTTTGGGCAACTTTCTGGTAAGGCTACTTTAGCCAGGCAACTCCTGTTACTAATTCGCTTTTCTTTTTAATTTTTTCTTTTTCTTGGAGGATGAGGAAAATATATCCACACACATACTAGAATAAAACATTTAAGACGCATTTTCAAAGGAAAGGGGAAATGACTATGCATATTAAGTAAATCCTCACTTGATAGAACCATAGATTCACTTATTTTGCATAACTTTTAGTCTGTTGATGATAGCTTCCTCAAATGCATTATTAGCTATCTCGTTAGCCCAAGTAGGTCTCTTGTATATCATTCAAAATCTATTTCTATATCCATAAACATAGCATTGGCACTCCAAATTCACTACTATTCCATAGTGAAGTTAGGCTTTGGGTGTCATGGGTGAGAATCTGGTTTAATCAAAAGGAGCTGTGTGTATTTTTCTTTTCTTCTTTGGATAGCTTTTCTATTTTTGGGTGATTCTAGTCCAAGTGAGGGAGATCTGTTGTATTTCCATTGGGTATATGGGCCACTTGGTGCTATAAATGATTCATTACAAAAATGAAACTGCTAATATGATTTAATTATATATTTAATGTATTTTTCTAATTTGTATTAATTGATATACTGCATAATTACTACGTCTCAATTAGAAACTTAGAAAGTCTCAAAGCTATCAATATCACTTCAACATCAATCAAGTACATAAAACTATATTTGGTTTCTACTTTCTCCATATTGAGTTTTTAATTTATACTTTCGACTATTAAGTTCATGGAGTTCCATTCCTTGTATACATTGATGAATTTAGTCTTTTCAAACTTAAAACAATAGATGCCAAATTTTTAAACATTCATCATTAAATTGTATACATGGTTGGTATTTTGCATTTGTAAGATTGTATGTGGTTCCAACAGCTTTGAAACTGAACTATAAACCTGTAGGAATCTAAGTAATTTTTCAATTAAGAGTTGTCTCTGACACAGCTATGAGAGATAACTTGTACCCATACTATTTACTTTGTGGATCACTTGTTCCAACCAGTAATGCACTTTTGCTTCGTAACATTAAGTTTATGCAATTAATACAATTTTATCCCATTCTTCTGTAAATTTCTTAAATTTTAAGTAGTGAGTGAAGAAAAAAGGAATAAAAAATTCAAAATCTAACATGATAGTTTCTTAAGAAAAGATTTAAGGAAAGAACATTTCACACCAATAATTTAAATAAATAAAAAAAATTATACCCTAATATAACAAATTATATGGAATTAAATACGAACTGGTTCATTTAATCTTATTATGTAAATTACTCAAGCACTTATTAAGATAAGATCACTCTCCTAATTAGAAATGGCAAACTGTGTAATCTACTTATGACTACCCCTACCACACCATGTCTGAAAGTAAATGCGGTACCACATTCTTGTTCCTCCTTTCCTGTAGCAGAACGATCAGGTATTCCAATCGACTTCAATTGTGAGTTTACTTTGAATGGATAGGAACATACTCATGGACTCCCTATTTGTGATCACCTGATCCTCATTAAATCACTTACCATAGTTTACCAAACTTGGATGAAGTAATTTGCATTAGAGGCCCATAAGATGTGGCAAACATTGCTTTGACTTACAATGAGGAGAACTAGCCAAAGCAGCAGAGCATGAACAAACAAACACAAGAGACGGAATAAACAGTTGCAAGTTGACACGTCGAAGTAATTGACTATCAGGATTTGGTATTATATTGCATCAAACAAGATGAGAAAGTGTTATAAATTCATAGTAGCTCAGTATTAGCATGATAATAGGAGGGTGACTTGGGACATTCAGCTTGAGGGGCATTTCAAGAATTGGGAAAGTTTGAGACTTTGAGCGGCATTTCAAGCATTGGGAATTGGAAGAGATCATTGAGGTTTTTTGCTTTATTGTATTCTCAGCACGTGGATGGGTTGGGGGGTGATGAGTGGTATTTGGCGGGTTCTAGACATGGGGGCTTCAAGTTGAGATCATTTTATAGGAGGTAATCTCAGGGTTCCCTTTCCCCTGGAAGTCTATTTGGCATACAAACTTTTTAGGTGTTTATTTTTTTCTTGGGGGGTGGACACCAGCTTTGGGGAGGATCTTGAAGATCAACAATCTAAGAAAAATACTCATGATTGTTGTGAATTGGTGTAACCGAGCATTCCGTATCTCTTCGTAGCAGGGATGCCAAACTATAGCCCGGCGGGGCAAATCTAATAGCTTGTGCTGGCTATGGTGCTATTGCTATCTTTTCTTTCTTACTTGTTTCGATGGTATTTCTTAATGAGGGAAGGAACCCAAGTACACAACTTTCCGCCCTGTAGCTTTGTTGCATGTGCAAGAGGGATGAGGAATTGGTGTATCATCTCCTTTTGCACTGTCCGGTGGATATAGAAGTTTTGTCCATGTTCTTTTCTATCTATGGTGTTCACTGGGTTTTTTGTCAAATTCTACGGAACATGCCCAAGGCTTGGAGTGGTTGTATAGTGGGTAGTCAAGCCCGAGATGCTTGGAAAGTGACCCCTTTGTTGTGGTGGGGCTTGTGGAGGGAGAGGGATAGGAGATCTGTTGATGGGGAGGAGGCTCTTATTTGGGTGTTGAAACATTCCATTTTGAGTTCTCTAATTTTTTGGGTTAAAGGGTGGCTTTGTAAATCTATGGAGGACTTCGTAGATTTTATGGATAGTCTGTGAGCTTAGTGGTTTCTTTGGCTTTTGTGCAGTTGTATAAGGGCGCGCCCTCCGTTTGAGCACTCTTTAATGTATTTTATTTATCAGCCAAGAAAACAATTCTTGTTTGTTAAATTCTTTCTTTCTCTTCTTTCTTTTTGTCGTTGAAAACTTAATTTTAGAAAGGGTGTTGGTTCCAGCACTTTTCTTAACCTGCAGATGCTAAATTTTGCAGGCACGAATTGGCAAACTTCCAGAGAAAGGTGTCAAATTTGTTAGGTCAATATCTGGATGGACTGCGACACTTCTCTTCATGTGGATGCCTGTTGCACAAATGGTAATCTGCATTGTGCTCCTGGGATTTTAAATATGAAATTTAAAACATCTGTTTGACATGATTTCTCTTACAAGTTACGTGCTTTCTGTTCAGTGGACAAATTTCCTGAATCCTGATAACATCAAAGGTTTATCTGCTTTCTCAATGCTTCTTGCCATGATTGGGAATGGACTTATGATCCCACGTGCACTCTTTATTCGGGATTTGATGTGGTATGCTTTTTTCCCCTTTTGTCCTCTCTCTTTTATATTAAGGATTATAGGTCTAGTTTAGCTTGACATCCTTGAGATGTTGTTAAATGCTTGCCTTATTATTTTAAGATTTGAAACATTTCATCAGAACTGATCTTGCATACTAGCTCCCTGCACCCTCTAATGGACTCTGTCTTTCTAAAATAATTAGCTATCATGATAGTTACTACAAAGAAATATGTTTAGTGCTCTGTTGGATGTTATTTTATAGTTGAATTTGCTGGCGAGGTATATGAATCTATTGGTTTCTGGGCTTAATTTTTTGGTAGAAATGTAGTTATTGTGTTTTACAAGCTTCCCTCTTATTGAGTAACATTAGCAATATCTACCTTTCAATATTCCATGAATGCATATATAGAGTTACTTATATCTTGTAGAATGTCAAAGCTTGAAGAAAAATTGAAAGAGGAATGTCAGATTGAGAAGAAGGGAGCAAGTAAGCTGTCTTATTTGCTCAACCCTTCCCATCGTCTCTCTGTATGTGTGTGTGTTTGTGGTGTGTGATGTTGAGGTCTTACTTGAGAAAATCTCCAGAACTCTTTTTCTCATCCCTGATTTGTTCTCTGTTAATGTTATTAGCATCCTCTAATCAATTAACACTCCAAGTTACTTGACGATGAAAGCTTAATGGCCGTTGATGCAAATTATGTTTGTGCAAACTGAATCATTGATATAATTACGGAGCTAAGTGTTGGGTGTTAAAAAATGAATATGAATTACACATACATGTATCTGTAATAAGAATGGTGAGATGGATGATAGAAGTGACTAAAACAGATATGATAAATAATGAATGTGTTGGGGAGAAATTAGCAGTGACCCACTTCTTTCTAAAATAATTAGCTATCATGATAGTTACTACAAAGAAATTTGTTTAGTGCTCTGTTGGATGTTGTTATTTTATAGTTCTCAAATTCGTTGAATTTGAGAACTATATATATGAATCTATTGGTTTCTGGGCTTAGAGTTTTTGGGTTAATTTCACTGACACCCTCCCAGGTTTGACCAAATATCACACTAAAACAATTTTCGAAAATTACTATCACTCATACTGTAAATGTTTGTTCCGTTTTTCATTCACACCCCAACCGTCACATGCAGAGCTCTGACATCATGTAAATTAACTAAAATACCCTTTGACTTTGTCACAGGAGTTCTTTAACCTACAAAACTAGATTAAAAGACTAAATTATCCCTATATGCTTTGCAATTTACAATTATATTATATTATATATATATATAAATAGAAAAGCTATTGTACAAAAGTACCCTCACTAAAATATGCCACCTCATAACAATTTTGGGTGTTTATGTAATTTAAAAACCAAACCACTCAATTTCTCTCACGCACATGCCGGCGGTGGAGGCCCATTATTCCCTGCAACGTTGTTTACATATTCCTTGTATGCACTAGCTATCTAATCTATTTTTGTTTCCCATTTTATCTGATATTTTCTCTTTTATCTGATATTTTTGTTTCCCATTTTTATCTGATATTTCTCTTTTCCTTCACATTGTCGCAAACTCTCTGGACCACGCCGGCGGTGGAGGCCCATTATTTCCTGCCACGTTGTTTACATATTCCTCGTATGCATTGACTATCTAATCTATTTTTGTTTCCCATTTTATCGGAATTTATAACCAAAAAAAATGAATAAATAAACCCAATTGAGAAATTCTCAAGAATCCATATATATATATATATAAAACTGTGTGTATGTATATATAGATAAAGGAGAGGTTGTGGAGACCTGATAGCGAGGCACGACGTGGGGGTTGGGGCTGGTGGTGGTAGCAGCGCCGGTGTGGGGGGGTGGTGGTGGCCCCATCAACTGCGATTTTGACGGTGTCGATGTCGATTTGGGTTTGTTTGTGGGAATGATTGTTTCAGATAAACCTAGTCGGAATCGTTGCTGGTCTTTGTCATCTTTGGAGTACTTCCGTCGCCGTCGCCGTCGTCGCCATCGTCCTCGTTGCCGTTGTCGTCGTAGTCGACGTCGTTGAAGGCCACCGCTGAGCCTATCTGTATATATATATCTACACACATATATTTTAGAGAGAGAAACTATTGGGGGTAATGCTGTCTTTTTCAATTTGTTGATTTTTTAGCTTAAAATGAATTTTAAAATAAGGGTAGATTTGTCTTTTCGCACATTTTTAACGGTGTTAGTGACGGAAAAGTAAAATTGGACCTAAGTGATACTAATTTTCGAAAGTTGTTTCAGAGTTGTATCTGGCCAAACCTGAGGGCGTGTCAGTGAAATTAACCCTAGTTTTTTTGGTAGAAATGTAGTTATTGTGTTTTACAAGCTTCCCTCTTATCTAGTAACATTAGCAATATCTACCTTTCAATATTCCATGAATGCATATATAGAGTTACTTATATCTTATAAAATGTCAAAGCTTGAAGAAAAATTGAAAGAAGAATGTCAGATTGAGAAGAAGGGAGCAAGTAAGCTGTCTTATTTGCTCAACCCCTTCCCATCGTCTCTCTGTATGTGTGTGTTGTGTGGTGTGTGATGTTGAGGTCAGTCTTGAGAAAAACTCCAGAACTCTTTTTCTCATCCCTGATTTGTTCTCTGTTAATGTTATTAGCATCCTCTAATCAATTTAATACTCCAAGTTACTTGACGATGAAAGCTTAATGGCCCTTTATGCAAATTATGTTTGTGTAAACTGAATCATTGATATAATTACGGAGCTAAGTGTTGGGTGTTAAAAAATGAATATGAAGCAAACATACATGTATCTGTAATAAGAATGGTGAGATGGATGATAGAAGTGACTAAAACATATATGATAAATACAACAAATATGATAAATAATGAATGTATTAGGAAGAAATTAGAAGTGACCCACTTCTTGATAAAACATTAGAAAACAGACATTTATTTAAAGGAACTTTAGGTGGTATTGACATATACAATGTACACTCGGCGAAGAAAGGAATACTATTTTGCATATAGGGTAGAAGACAAAAAGGCTGATTAAAAATGGGATGAAGTGATGAAAATTGAATAATTTTAAGGGTAATAGGATGATTTACTTGGAATAGAAATGGATGGTAAAAGAGAATTTATGTGGCGGATCCAATCTTTATAAGATAAAGGCAAGGATGATTATGTGGTTTGACTGATGTTATGACTTTGGAGCAGAATGGAGAACTAGGTTCATGTAGTCACCTTGAAATAGTTGAAAAAAATGATTTAGTTGGGTTGAGTTGGAGGAAGTGATATTTATATTGTATATAAGCATATGGATATTACTTCAATCAATGAAGTAATAATTATTTGACAGTCACCAGACTTTAAGCAAGTTTTCAATGTGGACAAATTTTTAGCATCTTTGTGTGAGTAGGTTATAATCAATGGTCCTGCCCCATTGGATCCAGTGGGGGCAGCTGCCCCACACTCAATTTTGCATGTTTATCTTACCACATTTACACAACTTACAATAGGTTTGTCTGATGGCTTGTATTTCTTGTGTATATATATTTTTTAAACAACATTTACAGTTTTGTATTCATTATTTTGGTTTTTTTTTTTGAAAAAATAAATAAATAAAAAGGACCTTATAATCTTATTATTACTCAAATCGCCCCCAGTAAAGGAAATTTTGGTCATAACGAAGACCTGTTTTGAGGTTGTAGTTGGTGCTATTTTAAGTAGTGCCTTCGGTTATTGTCCTGCTGATAATGATATATCTGGAAAACAATGGCTGGTTGTTGATTGTAGGTTCACTGGTTCAACTTGGGCATCTATTTTTTATGGATGGGGCAACCTTATATGCTTGTACTGGTAAGCTATTTATGATTGATAAGTCACCATCTGCAGTTGCATTTGCCAACTTTCTCTTGAGCAGTGACCTTATATCTTCTTAACTGGATTGTGTTGTCCTGGACTCAGGTTTAACAGTATTAGCAGGGAATTCTTCTTGGCATCCACGGCTGGGTTGTGCATCTGGATAGGTCATATTTCTATTTCCATTTCTCCGTAGTACTATAACTAAATCCTCTTGGTAATTGTAAATTGGGTATATATACATATATATATGGACTACCAGCTTACACTGGTTATTTTTTCATGCCTTAAACTATCAATACAGTTTTGTCCTTTTTAAATTTTCACGCCTTAAACTATCAATACAGTTTGTCCTTTTCAAATTCAACTTTGGATTATTTTTTACTGTACTTGTCATGTTTTCAAAATATCAAGTATATTGATTATAGGTAGTTGTTTGATTCATGAACTCGTTTTTCTCGTAGTGATATTAGAATAAGTGTGATGATGACGAGACATCTCTAAATTATTGGTTAATTTGATTTTGGTTTGTATCATAAGCATTAGAAGAATATTTAGTTCTACAAAGTTATTGATTGGTGGAGAAATAACTTATGCTTACACTTGGGTGTATGTTAATACACGAAAAAACGTCTAATGATTACTTCTTTATTAGTGAATTTCAGATTTTCCTTTTGAGGAGCAGATCAATAAGATATCTGTTTTTGTCTAACAGGATTTGCTCTTTGGAGAGACCATAAAGTTTATGGATACACCTCACCATTAAGATCTTTAAAGGAGTTGGTTTACGGAACTTAATATCACTAGCAAAGTGCTCCTGATGCTGCCGACATTGCTCCCGCGAAATGCATACTATTCTCCTTTACAACAGGAAGCTGATATTGCTTGTTTGACATTGCAAGCTGCTGGTGCTTGTTTGGCATTGTAACTCGAGAATCTGTCAACTAATCACACTCAAATGAGCACCTCCATTAGGAAATTAAGGGTTTATAATGCAATGATTCTGTGTTAACTCGAGATTCTGTATGGACATTTATGTCCAGAAAATTTGCTGTTTATTATCATCTTTTAATAATAAATAATAATGTCTCAAATGTGTTGCTGTTTGAGAATTGTTTCCTTATCTTGATCCTTTTTGACGTTTAACATGAAACGAATAGGTTTGTTTTTTCACTATTTGTCCTCCATTCCATTTGCTATTACCACTTCATATTCTTTCAGCAGATTCTCCCCACCTCCAATCTTGGTCGGCTTGTCCAATACTATTGGAATTGGTTTCATTTGTCTTTATTAATTAATTAAGTGTTGGTGTTTCACATGTTAGAACCACTTTTATTTCAAAACATTACTCCTCTCTGACTTAAGGCTTGAAATGAAGTGAAGTTTGATTTTAGATCCCATCTTATTCGAAATTCACTTTAAAGATTTTTATCTTAATTTTGAATCAAATTTAAAAATAAATTATATATATATATATACACACACACATACACACGTATGTTAGATTTGTTACGGATTTGGATTTGGATTTGGATAAATTTGAAATGGATTGAGTTAACTTCAAAATTGATTTGGATAAATTTGAAATGGATTGAGTTAACTTCAGATTTGATTAAAAATAAACATGTTGTATTTTGTTATTATTATTTTTAATATTACGTTGGTATATCATGATGCTAAAATATGAATCTTAATTTGAATTCACGAAAAAAGAAGAAATTAGCTCGAATACAATGACTTTACTTTGAATATGCTCCATTTCAGCCCTTGTGGTTGTGTGAGGTGATAGCGAAAGGCACAGTTTTGGTTGTAGGAATTGTGTGATGGAGCTTTTGACAAAAGTAAAAGCAGAAGTATAGAAAGTTCCATTGGCATAGAATAACAACAAACAAACTTTCTTAAATAACTTTGTCCTTATTTTATTTTAGGGTTAAGTGTAGAAAACCCTGTTCTAATATAGGTTATGTGCACAGTTCCTCTTTTTTGAAAATCTTTATTTCAGTTCATAATATTTTAAAAATATACAAATAAGTCCCTATGATCACTTTTTACCTTTAAAGTGATCTGTAAAGTTAAAAATCCAATTTTACCTTTTTATTCCTATTTTGCCCCTCATCGCTCTCTCTTAAAAGATTGGGATTATTACATATAAATGGGGTTAGAGCACCATATTTACTTAGAGGCTGAGTCAAAGTCCTATATTTCTCTAAAATGTGTTTGACCCAAAAGCTGAGGTGGCACATGGAAAAATACTGTTTCATATTTCTGTTGTCTAAAATACCATTCTTCCTATTTTATGTGTTGCCTAAAATGCCCTTTTCTACATTTATCTATTTTTAAGCCCTAATCATCTTTTCACATTCCATTCGTGCCAGACTCGTGAAGCTCAAGTGTTCTCTCTCTCTGCCCTAACCCTCACTCCATGAAACTCAAGTGCTCTCTCTCTCTCTCCCCCTCTCTGTAACAGCTCAAGGTAGGCCACACATCTCAGCACATAACATCAGCGAACATGGAGGTCTTCTTCACTTTGTTTCTCTCTGATGACCAATTCTATTTGGTGTGAAATGAAGTCAGACCTATGTTATATCTCTCTCTCTCTCCTTCACAATTTAATTCAAGGACGAATCTAGGGTTTGAGGTAATTTCTCTCTCTCTCTCACACACACACCCGTTTTGGGTGGATCTCCCCCGATAATTTGTGCAATTGAATCTGATCACTGTTAATGTTTGATGTATGCTATTTAAGTTCGTATTTAACATTATTGAGTTATGTTTTGGTTATTTTGTGATTGTGTTTTTTTTATTTATTTTTATTGTTAATCTCAATTAAAATTTGAAATATTGATGCAAGATTAAATTTATACGGTAATCTCAATTTTTTTTTTTTTTTTTCATGATATTTGGTTAGAAAAATAACTATTCTATGTTTTGTGCTATTTCGTAAGTTAATTATTTTATTTTTTTGGGATCAATTTTGTTACTAATTTAACATATTTATTTTTGTAGACCAGATATATATAGTTGACATGAACACAAGGTGTTAAACACACAGCACCATACACATAAAAGGTGAATCTTGTTATATCTGAATATCCTATCCTTGTTGTAGAGACTTAAGTAGTGAAGAAAGTATAAAATAATAATAAGAAAAAAGTGTCACTTACTTCTTATTTTGCATTATATAGTATGGGTGAAATCCAGTATAAATTCAACAAGTGTTTGACACAGTAATTCTCAGTTGGAGAGAGAGAGAGAGAGAACCAACTAAAAGTGGGAGGATAAAAAAATTGATTTCAGATTGTGGGCTACTTTTGGTACTCTGTCCTGCATTTTGAAAATTTCCACTCAAAGGGTATTAACTAAATTTGGTGGCTCTCTATTACAACCCTCCTGGCTTTTAGCTCATCAGCCAAACTGACATGTACTGTGTGCAATGTTTCATGCTCCCAGAGAAACCCTCTTTAAAATAGACCTTTAGAGAGAGAGAAACAGCAGCAGATCAGGAGCACGGTAGAGAGAGAAACAAGACAGTATTCTAGAGAGAGAGGAAAGGAAATCGGCATTTGAAGGAAGTGAAAAAAGGAAGAGTAATTAACTTCCAAAAAATAAATAAAAAGGTAAAGTAATGACAAAGGTACTCCATTTATACCCACGCCTACATCAAAACAAGAGCGCTTGATGATTAACCACCGCCTCTGCTACTGTAAAATATAGAGTACTTACTAGTATATACTTGTGTGTATATGTATAATTATATATATTTACACGAATATATACTCTACACAAGCTTTTTTTTACTTTTTGATTGTGTTTAGTTTATGTTTATTTACTTCTTATTTTTACCTTTGTTTGTTAACTAATATTTCAATCTAGGTGGTACTTTGCTAATAATTTAACACCTTGAGCTAGCAACTGACATTGCCAACTCTCATTAGATATATTATAGTATTAATTATCATATTGTTTATTAAATTATCAAACATTGGGAGGAGAGTTTCGAACTATGATTAGAGTTGTTGGTCAAGTGATTCTTCACAGCTTATTTCACTTTTTATTTTAGGTGGTGTTTTTCAGTCATGGATGTAGGACAATAAAAATGTTTTTTTTTTCAATTATACAAGGGTATACCGTACCCGGACTCACAATTATAGAAATTTTGTGCACTTCTTTCTTTAGAAAATAGTGCAGGGAAAGCAAAAAAGAGCAAGCTAGATCAAACCCAGAAGTATAAAGCAATAATGAATCTGGATGCCATTACAGTTCTTAAATCCACATAGTGATAAGATGATGGCCTGCATAATGTTTGGAAGTGACTAATGCGATATAAATTTTTTTTTATAACCCATTGTAAGGCATGTTAGCAAAAAATTGGATAACATATATGTAATATACATATATACGAGTTAGTAGTGCATTTTCAGTTTAATTTCTGAGGCCTACCCAATTGCAAAAAGAAGCCTTTTCACAATTACTATAGGACCTTTCAAAGTTAATTACCAATTGCAGACTCCTTTTCATGATTGCGCAAAAGCCCACCCTTTTCCTCAACTGTCTGTGCTATAACAGGGGGTCCTCCAAAACTCATGTGGTTGTATTCTGTTAGTGATGCCTTATTGAATTCGTAGCCAGGTTCTGAATGCATATATGAAATAAAGTCAATCAAATTACCATCCCTCTTCTATTATATAAATATAGAAACACATAGATACATACAAGCATGAATTCATACCTAAATAGATATACTGTTTGATAACCCAATTTAGTACTTAATTTTTATCCAATTATGTGCATTCAACAACACATTTTGAATATCACTTAAAATAAATTAGAGCCATTTAAAATGAGGTAAAATTTTAAGTGGCAGTGACTTCACTTAACTCCTAAAACTTCAGTACTTAAACTTATAAATATAAATAATAATAAATAAATAAATTAAGTACTTATTCAGTTTTATCAAAAGGGATGCAGAAAAACCCAAAAAGATAAACATATGATCATAAAACAAGACATAGCATTGGTAATACTAATATGACACCTCATTGCATTATTTGGAATCAAACTAGAAATAGAAGTTAGAACTAAATTGAAGAGTAACACTACTTTTTGTATAAATATCAACATCAAGATGCATCATGCTTATTTTTTTATCTAATATATTCTACACCCATGCATATATATAAATTTATTGTAAAACGTATATATTAAATTGATGACTTAATATGAATGCCACAATTAAACAACAAAACAATTAAACATATTCCCAAAGTTTCTCATTTTCTCTGTTCGATTTTCTAATAATAGTTAATAAGTCGATGTATATGTCTTAAGACGACTGTTCGTGTTCATTCTAGCTTCTCGTGTTTATGGGTTATCTTGTTCTGGGATTTGTACCTGTAATTCTTGTTTTGCAAACTAAATCCTATTTGGTGAAAAATTTTATGAACTTTTTTATATAATTTATTTTATTTTATTTTATGAATTTTAGTTATAAATATTTGTGAAGATAATGACTGAAATATGATCTCCCTTTACAGGATTTGAAAGACTAATTGGTAAATTTGGGTTGAACTTGAGTCTTGAACAAGCTGAAGGCCTTTATTGTGGATTATAATTTTTACAATTATAACATCTTACGGACCTTCTATAATTTTAGAGTGCTTTCATCACTTCATACTGGTAAGTCATATCTCCACACGCACCCACACACACGCACGCACACACACACCCACACGCACACATTATTTTTCCATTAGTGGACAAATTAAAATTTTTGATCCACACACACACACACACACACATTATTTTTTCGTTAGTGGACAAATTAAAGTTTTTGATCTTTATGTTGTCTTTGAAATTTTTGGCATCCTTTTTTTTTATCCACCTCTTGTTGACACACACACATACACACACACATATTATTTTTCCATTAGTGGACAAATTAAAGTTTTTGATCTTTATGTTGTATTTGAAGTTTTTGGCATCCTTTATTTTTTGTCCACCTCTTGTTGTCTTTGAAGTTGTAAGTTATGTGGTTGGAACATAATCTTCTTGTTGAGTTTGCTGAAATCCATGTGTCACCTCAGCTTTTGGGTCAAACTTATTTTAGGCAAACTATGGGACTTT